TAGTCCAAAAAATTTTTTTTTTACTTTTCTTGCAGTAATAAAGTTAAATAAACACCTCATCACTAAGATACATTCTTTCTTGACTGTTTATTGTTTAATTGCATCCCAAGAAGTCATTTTACTATCCACTTTACAAAAAATAGATATACATTTTCGTTTCTATTTTTAAATCACAACCAAAGTTGATGTAAAATCGGCCTTGTTTAAACGTTTTTTTATTTTCTACCAAAATCGTTGTCCCGCTTTCAACGTGGTAGTAGCAAAAAGCGTATTATAATGTTTTACTAGAAGACCAATATGTCTTAAAACAAAAAGTGTTGTAAAACGCTAGAAATTTCGAACTTTTTAAAACAGCCAATGTCCACTCTTTAGCATTGAGTCGTTCCAGTGTGCGCCGGCGCCGTGGAGGCTCCAAGGAGAACGACAGTTTGTATCGAAATGAAATTTTGTGAGCATAATATGTAGGTTAGTTCAGACCACTTTTTAAAAATATAGAGTTTTACAGGGTGTCCTCAAAAAAAGTTACATATCAAAGTTGTGTTTTTTGTACTGGAACACCCTGTATATTAATTGCTTTTCGGATTCTGGGAGAAAAATAAAGGTAAGTTTTATAAGAGAAGTATATGACTAAAATGTAAGGTTTTCGACATATTTAACATTTTCTAGAAATAAAGAACAATTTTTTAAATTACAATGAAAGCTACCTAAATTGGAATTTACCCTAATATTTAGTTAAATTAACTATTGTACTTTAAGTCAAATTAAAACTTGATCCAAAAAGTTATACAGTTTTTATTTTAAATAGAACACCCAGTAAATTATTTCGCTATTCAATGGAGAATTCATGTCTCTTCAAAATACTATTAAGGTTGCCTACCCCTCAAACAAAGATTTTCCTAGATATTTTCATTTACATGATTTGATCTAAGTAGATCTTTATTCTTTGATAAAATCTAGGTGGCTGTGATATATCTGACGTTATTTCAACATAGCTGTTTAATTTGTCCAACTTTAACCACTAGTTATCATTTTGGGTCAGTTAAAAGAAAAAAAATTCTCAGAAATTTGCCGAAAATGCAAACTTATCCTACTTTAGAGAGAATTGATATGATTCTATTAGTTGCTGAACGCAGTGTGCATCCACCAATTAACAGAATACTTAAATGCTCCTGATTTTATCTAGTCTGGTTTTTTTATGAGGATATGTTAAAGACAGTGTTTACAAAACTCGACTAACTATTGTCGACAACATGAGAGAAATTATTATAGCTGCTTTTCGAGATAGAACTCCACATATGCCTTTTAAAATGAAAAGATCCTTTTGAAAAGACAATCATTTTATGCAGTTAACAGGAAAGAAAGCATTTTGAGCATTTGATTTCATCTAGCTAATTTTTGTCACATAATTATAGGTTTATATCTAGTTTTAATTCTGTAACAATTAAAATATGCTTTAAACGTGTATCTTTTTATTACCGTTGAGTATATTACTCTAGAACTATTAATTTTTGTTAAATTAACAAAAGGTATGACACAGCCACCCTAGATTTTTTCAAATAATAAAGATCTACTGACGCAAAATCATAAAAATTAAAATATCTAGGAAAATCTTAGTGTGAGGAGTAGGCAACCTTATTAATATTTTGAAGATACATAAAATCCCCATTGAACACCGGAAAAATATACTAGGTGTTTCATTTAAAATAAAGGAGTAATTTGCTTTTAAAAGTGACTAATGTTCCATATTAATTTTGTCTCACCCTGTATAACTTTTCGGGTCAAATTTCAATTTGGTTTAACATACAATGGTTACTGTAATTAAATATCAGGTTATACAAGATCAACTAAAATTTAGGTAGCTATTATCGAAATTTAAAATTTACTCTTCATTTTCACAAAATGTGAAATATGTCAAAATCCTTAGATTTTATGTATATGCTTCTTTAATAAAACTCACCTTTATTTTTTTCCTAGAATCCGAAAATCAATTAATATATAGGGTGTTCCATTATTATTATTTTTTTGGGGGAACACCCTGTATAATTCTATATAATTTTATAAAATGCTTTCAGTTAATCTACATATGCTGCCAAAATTTCATTTCGATATAAATCACCGTTCTCCTTGGAGCTTCCGCGGGGTCTGAGAGACGCCACCCTGTACAGGGTGTCCCATTTTGGTTGAAATCATATGGTATCTCCGTTATTAGTGAAGATAGAAGGGTGCGGTTTGCACAAACCTGTGCCACTTTTTTGTCAAACGGAAGATGCCGTAAACAAAATTTTCATAGCTCTCTTTGTTTCTGAGCTACAGGGTCTTTTTGAAAATTTGGAATTTAGGACACCTCCTGTATCTGTTACTGTTAAATCTATCGAGAACGTGAAAACTGTCTATTGTAGAACTTTTTACGTAGAATACAGCGACGTAGTCTGTTCTACGAAAAGAATATTTTTAAAGATATGAACTAAAGTTATGTTTTCTTAAATGGAACACCCTGTATATTTATGAATTAAATGATCGGACTTGCCATAAGCTTCTCAAAAATATATAACACTATATTTATTTTCATTATTTAATGCAATATTTAAAAAAATATATTAAAAGATCATGTTTATTAGTAGGCCATGATTGATAACAAAAAAGAAACTAAAGAATTATTAAAAGTAATATTGCTATCTGTCTCTTGTTTTAATTTGAGAGCCACTAATTAATTCTTTGTAAATATACATGGGGAAACTTAAATCTCTACCGCTATTTGTAAATCTTGGAAGTTATTTTTAGCTAATTTTTACGTGAAATATACTTTCACCTAGATGGGGCTCCCCCTTACAACTTAACTTACAACGAAAATATTCGAGTTTTGTTATATTATTATTTCTCAAATCAATGAATTGGAACCAATATGATGACCTCCCTAATTCCCGGATTTGTCCGTTCTCGATTTCTGATTTTAGGGATTTTTGAAATATGAAATATATGAAGCTTTTAGATATTTACAAACCCATCCCATTATAATAAATTCCGTTATAAAAAAGAGAAAAATATATTCAGAGGTTCAGTGGTAACAATTCAAAAGCAAAATATATTAATCCCAAATAAAATTTTAATATGTGTATGTCTATTTTAGTAAATACCATTTTGATTTTGTTATTTATCACGGCCTAGTAATAAGAAAATTATATATTTAAAATATTACAGTCAATATTGAAAATAAATATAAAGTGATATGTATATTGGAGAAGCTCATAGCAAAGCGGATCATATGACAGGGTGTTCCATTTGAAAAAAACCTAACTTTAGTTCATATTTTCAAAAATATTTTTTTTGTAGAAAAACAGACTACGCCACTGTATTATACGTAAAAAGTTCTACAAGAATCAGTTTTCATCTTCTCGATATCATCTATAATAACGGAGATACGGGGGCTGTCCCAAATTGCAAAATTTTCGAATGACCCTGTAGCTCAGAAACGAAGAGAGCTATGAAAATTTTGTTAACGGCATCTTTCGTTTGACAAAAAAGTGGCACTGGTTTGTGCAAACCGCACCCTTCTATCTTCACAAATAACGGAAATACCGTATGATTTCAACTAAAATGGGACACCCTGTACAATAATATACGATTAGGTTACATATGTATTTTTTAATAAAAAAATAGTACATTTGCTTTTCTAAATCATTTGTACTTGAGTCTTGCATCGTTTATCCTTACTTTTTTTATTTTTATGGTCATAAAAAACTTAAATTTAGTATAAAAACTATTTTTAGACTAGAAAGATAATAAGTAATGCAAATCTTCTCACTACCCGGATTTAGACCCCCACGAAGGTCATTTTTACATTTTTTTATTTACAGAGGTCAATCATTCTACCAAAAATAGGTTAGTTATCGCAAGGTCGCGAGTGTGCTAAATTTAAACAAACAAAACAACAAAAATTGCATATTTTATATTTTATATAAAACTTTATATAACATTACAACAACAATAGTTTGTCACATACATTATCAAATAAGAACTTAAAAATAACATAACTATAGCATGTCCCCGGATTGTTTTTACAAGACGAAACATTTTTTATTTTGATATTTTGAGAAAAATGCATTCTTCAACAAAGCTTTTGCTTGTTCTAAAATGGTTAATCCCGTTTATACTTTTCAAATTTCCCTACCGTTTTAGAGAAAATTAAAAAAAAAACATGAAAATATAGTTCAATTTTTTCTAAGGCCTAAAAATCAAAACGCGTTTCTATGGTAATATAATTTCATTTTCATTCTTTAATAGATTATTATTAATATATTTTAATTATATTATGGTATTTTATCATCGACTGAAAAGTCACGAGCGATGAAATCGCGAGTGAATTAATTTCGGTAGACGATAATGCAATTTTATCGTCGTGTATAAAACAATATTTTTTTCTATAACGAGTTACGTTTTTAAAAAAATATTCAGAAATTATTATTTCAAGGAATTTATTACGAGTAGAAAAAATATCGTGCTGTGTTGGCGTTGGTTTCCATGTAATTTGACAAATAAATAAAGCTGTCTCTTTAATTGTCAGTTTTGAGTTAATATTTTTTAATTCTCTTTCGTGTCGATTGCTGATTGAATTGGAGCCAGAAATGGCTCAAAACGAAATAAGTAAATTACCAACAGATATTCAGGCTGAGGCGACAAACGCCATATCCAAACTACTTCCATTTAAATCCCGAATAACTTATAAAAGGGAATACAAAAATTTTCAAAAATGGAAACAATTAAAAAACGTGCGAGAAGAAATAAAGTTTTTAACCTATTCTCGCTGTTAAAGTATCATTTAATCTACCCTTGCGGTTAAAGTACTATTTTATCTACAATTTTTGATAGATATAAGGCAATTTTAAGCACAGAATTTAGTTAGTTCAATGCTACGCAAAAGGCAAAAGGTGATAATAGTTTTTTTTTACTTCAACGGTATTTTCATAGTTTTTTTTTAATTTTCTCCAAAACGGTATGGAAATTTGGAAAAATATAAACGGGATTCAAGATTTTATCACATTTTTCTCAAAATGTCGATAAAAAAGTTTTTCCTCTTGTAAAGACAATCCGCGGACATACTGTATATGCTTCAGAGAACATCACTAGTACATTAAACTCCTGTATAAACCTGACGCCAGCTTATGATATATTTTATGACACCCAAGCAGCAACCTTCAATCTCCATTTTTTTGTGTAGTTAACCACATTTAAACCTATTTACATAGTTTATTTATTTCGTTTTTTTATATACAGTACAGCTACCCTATTTGGGTACCCATATTGGAGCGGCTACCATACCCGTGGTTACCCTTTCCACAGATATAAGTTCCTCTTCTACCTGACCTACTCCATAAAAGCGTTCTAGTTCGACCATGGCCTTATCTTCAAGCTGAAACAAAACAAGCATTGGTAAATAATGTCTACTAGATTACAGATGTATTTTTGATAGCAATTAAACTTTTAGTTTCGTAATAGATGGCGCGATTTTTAAATTCATTGTTGCCAACCATGGACATATTCGGCGACGCGCTGACTAACTGGAATTTAAATTTCGCGCTGGGGATTCAGGTGTTAGCTCTGCTGTAAAAAATGTCAAGTTGCCGCATTGATTTATTACATTTTAGTTTACTACTACGAGTTTTTGGTTTTACACACGGGGGTGTCACTTTTATGGGAAAACAGGCAACAGTCAAATTTAAACGTGCCAGGACCAACGACCAAGAAAGCAACATCTGCCAGGCATTGGCTTTCTTTGTCACTCACATTGCTTAAATCATGATATCGCGGCCATTTTGCCAACAAAGAAGCTGGCCGGGCTGTCCTGGCAAGTGATTTAAAACAATTTTGCTTTTTTACAACATTAAATTACCATTTGGATGTATTTAATGCGATTATTCAGTTAACTGGTAAGTCAGAAATTAAACACAAATACTTTATTCGTAAATACAACTAAGATGTAAACGTATTTTTGTATTTTTAGATTTCAACTTTTGCATAAGTACAAGACCCGCCGATAGAACTTGCCTGGCAGCGTACCTGTTTAACTAAACGTATTATTTCCTGATAATAATATCAAAACACGTAAGTACCTCTATAATTTATGATGAAAAATGATTTTGATTATGTTTTATATTATTTAAATACTTTCTAACCTCAAATAATAGTAAGATCCTTGTTTATATCGCACAGCCCGTTCAAAACTGTATTGTCTCTAAAAAATTTTACAAAACAAACAATTATTACAAAAACAATGTCCTTTTAATCTGATTTATACCTCAGAAGGATGCCAGTAAAATTTTATTAAATCAACATTATATTATTTGGCCATTAATATGCAAAAAGGAGCATATTGCCTTAACTTAAATTTTCTTTTACTTCTCCTGACAATGTTCTCTATATTCTCTATTTTGAGTTAGTAAACTTTTGAACAAGATGTGCGATATATAAAATACATAATATATCCAAGGGTATGATCTGATAAAAGTATTTTTTGATGCATTTTTTGGTTTTTTATGCACATTGGCTTGGTTTATGTTTTATTCAGCTTATATTTATTTGGTATAACAGCTTTTTTTTGCCTTTGGAATGGCATGCATTGAGGCTAGATAGTGTTTCATTAGATCATTAAAGGAATTTAAATTAGCATATATTTTTTGTGATATTAGTGTATTATCATGATACAGGTAGTTGTATCATAGTGCCTTATGCATGTTATTTACCTATTATATACTTATGTATTATCAGTAAATAGATAATAATATACTACTAAAATGTCTTTTTAATAGTATGTTTATCTTTCCAATTCACTAGTTATTTGCAAAATGTATTTTGAACTAATTTAAGTCATTAATTGATCATCTTTCTTTTTCAGGTTCCGGGATATTGTTTTTCATTGTTAAAAATATATATATTTCAATATTATTGTAATATAAATCGCAGCTCTAAAAAATAAATGATATTGTTTACTAATGTGTAATTTATTTACTATGAATTTTCTCCGAAAATAATAAGTCTTTAATAATATCATTGATTTGCTGTGTAAAGTTAATAGACATATTTTTTAATACATTAAATTATATTAAAGTAATAAAAAATATGTTTATTAACTTTAAACAGTAAGTCAGCGATACTTATAAAAATATATTTTTTTTAAATTTCCCCTCTTTTAAGCCCCGCCTCTCCAATTCCCCTCAATTTAGCTAGTACTGCCAGGCGACACCAGGTGGCGTCTGTTTCTATTTTTTAACATGAAGTTAGCATTTCTTTAATGTACCTATTCTCTGGTTTTACATAAATAGTTTGTGATACTTTAAACTTAAAAATGTATACTAGCATTGTTCTGTAACGTTTTTAGTTCGTTACATGTCTTTTTTATATATGATATATGATCTGGCGTATCGTCACCGGATTCCGTATCGCTTAGGCCTGATAATTTATTTGACACGCTTGACGTAATTTTAACGTTCTCTTGTCGACAACCCTGTTTTCGTTTCACTGCTTCTGTGGAGAGCTGTCCACATCGTTTCAAGGTATCTCTCGCGCTTTAACCTCACTTTTGTTTTTTGTTTGCCGGCTGTCGCCGTCGCCATCAGCAACCCGGCTCTTAATTTTTAGAAATGGTAATTATTTAAATCTTGCTGCAAAATCTGAATGAGCTGCTATTTGGAAGCTACAGGGTAAAGTTTTGGATTGGTTTTGGATTGTCTATTGGACAGGTGTCCCATGTATATCTAGTGATTCCTATGGACGAGTGTCCACTGTACGGATAGTTTATCCTATGTATAGAGTGCTCCAGTATGGATGTAGCGTAAGCCCCATCCTGCTTTTCTGCTATTTTTAAGCCTGGTCGATAGTTACGGCTATATTGGTTCATGGTGTTCTCATCCTGGCCCCTTTTGTAGTATTAACCAACAGTAAAGCCAAGAGAGAGTGCAGAGATATAGTCTGTGAAACGAATAACTTTAAATTTGACAGTTCCCGCGGGCTTTTCTAGTGTTAATTTTATTAAGTTAGCAACTTGCGGCCATGCTGACGCAATGCCGTCTCTAATAGAACAGCCTCGGAGCGAGATTTATGACGTCACGCTAGTTAGAAACTACGGATTAAGAAATATGTCGTAGAACACATGGAAAACATAATTATTCCTCATATTATTATGGCTGAAATCGTACTCCATAGTCAATGTAGATAGTTTTAGTGTTAAGAATAATAATTTTAAAAAATATGTGGTCATCTTTTGACAAATTTATATTAATTTATTAATGGCAGTAAACATTATGTGGTGTGTTGTGTGAATTTTTATATGAAATTTTTTGGATTATATTCGACACTATTTTTTTCATATGAGACAACACTGATGAAGGCTATAATGTTAACCGAAACGTTTTTTTAAACCAAATAAAAATAATGAAAACCCAAATGAAAACTTAATGAGCGTTTTTCCCGAACCTAAATCCCAAGAAAATCAAAATTTTTAGAATAATTTTACATATAAAATGACAGCGATCTTTATTTCCCTTTTTTTCTATGATATTGTATTATTTGTAAATATAATTTTTCGAACATTGATACTTGCAAAATATACATATAAATTTTATGAATGCAAATAATAATACATCACTATTAGTAGATATTGAATATTTTTTGTTAAATTAGATCGATTTGCAAACCCCAAAATTTAAAATATATTTTACATTTTACCCATTATCTTATGTACCTATTCATTATTTGTATATTGTAAAACATTTGCTGCATTTGTATGGTTTATAGTTTATTTGCCAAAGTATTTATTACTATAAATAGGTATATATATTGTATTTATTAACTGTATATTATGTATATTTCATGTAAGCTATATCATTTTTAAAATACAAACCAAAAATACGAGGAATAATTATGTTTTCCATGTATTCTACAACATATTTATTAATCCTTAGTATCTATTAGCGTGAAGTCATAAATATCGCTCCGAGGCTGTTCTATTAGAGACGGCATTGGTCTGATATTTAGAAATGTCAAAAGCTGATGACATTTTACTTTTGACATTTATGACATTTCGTGTTGATTTTTGCAAGAAGAGGAAGAACTGTCACTTGTTTTATTATTTTCCTTTTCTATTTCACGAAAGTAAAAAGAGTTACCTATCTGTTCGTTCAGGCACTCAATTTAAAGAATATCAGTAACATTTTTGACAGAGGGATTTGATATTTGCAATGTTGGTAAAAATAACGGTCAAAATTCAAAGTTATTCATTTTATAGACTATACAAGTCCCACCTCACGCTATACTGTTAAGTTCTGGTTTCTGGTTCTAATTTTAAGTTCTGGTTTTATGTTTTAGATTTTCTACATTTTCAGTCTTGAATAATATCCTACAGACTTTACGTCTAGTGGTTAACCTTTTTATGTCAGTTTAGTATTTAGAATATGATTTAGATCCTAGGTTTCATTACGAACATATCTTGTAATAGTATTAACCTAAGTAATGGCTACCTTCTATATATTTTCTATAGCCTTATCTATATTGTATTTTTCCATAGTCTTTTTCATTGAACATATTTAGTACTATTTTTAACATAACTTTCTTCGACATATAACCACTATAATTTTACTAGAATTTTACAATGTTATTTACCATCAGAGTCCATAGTGAATAAATATAGTCATTAGTTTTATGTAATATACAATTGTATTTTCTTTCTCTGTTCATGCCTGGCGCCCAATATCTATATTTTTGATTTATTAAGTTACACTGATATATTAGTATATCAGAGTAACTTTAATAAAACATAAGAATATATATATATATATATATATATATATATATATATATATATATATATATATATATATATATATATATATATATATATATATATATATATATATATATATATATATATATATATATATATATATATATATCTATATATTTTTTACAGTTTATTAAATATAAACTTTGACTACAAGGTAGAAAGTAAATCACAATATTTGATGAAACTTATAAGTACCTATACCATTTCTACAGTTAATTAATAATAAAACTATTTCTGACTATGATATTTAAAATTTAGATAGATAGAATATTAAAAAACATACCGGTATTTGCAGACGCAGGCCCAAATTCAATAAAAACCAAAAATTTTCCTGCGAAAATCGGGCTTTTTTCACAGTAAAGGTATTTTTTGATTTATCAACAATCATTGTCAAGTTGACAATATACAGGGTGTTTTCTAATTAGTCTAAAAAATTGTGGTGTGATTTCTCATGTGTACTTAAAACAATTTTTATATAACCATTGGGTTTAAAGTACTTCCTTTCTGATCTACAGGGTGTTAAAAATTAAAAAAAAATCGATATTTTGCTTAACATAAATGGTACACTATTGCTTTTTTAAAGAAAATATTTTTTTTTCTTGGCTGGTCATCCTTTTTCAACAAAATTGATCTTTTGAGTTTTTCTTGTTCATCAAACAGTTGCCGAGAAAAAAATAAATATACTTATTAAGAGCCCGCCTTAAACCGTTTTCTAACGATTTTTTTTAGATTAATTAGGAAACACCCTGTATATGCATATCAGAGGCAACCAAATAAACTAGTAACCTCTAAAAATTATTTTTCCTACCACTAGCGACATACCGTGTTTTTAGTGAGTACTAAATTATTTTATCAAAATTTCACCATATAAGTTTCCAGGCAATGGATTTATTATTGTTAGTTAGTTTTTCTCCAGTGAAATACCTTATCCACGACTGCTCTACCGATGAAAACCTGCCGTTCGCAGTGGTAATGTTTAAAAAACGTTCTAGTTCTTTTTCAGAACCTTTTTTAGTGCGAAGTGTACAAGATCTAATAATATCGGTGTCTGGAGCTCAATTTTATCAAAAACATGATGGTAAAAACCGCACGTCAATATCTGTTACCGTTTATGAGTTTTCCAAAAATGTGAATTTTTAACGAATCGCTGTAACTTTTTTGCTATGGAAAATTTAGTATTTTTATGAAAACACCTTTTTAGAATTTAATGGTTTAAGTATATAAATTTTTTTAAATTAATCGTTTAAGAATTATCACCAGAAAGTTTGATTTTTTATATGGGACACCCTGTATATTTTTAATTCATTGAAAATAATTTAAAATTACCTTTCCAAAAATATAACATACTTGATATTTTGCTCGATTCCTCTTCGAGATATAGAGTTTTTAAAAATTCGCCCACTTTGAATAGAATTTTATAACGACATGTTTAGAAGCATTTAAACTATATTTAACAACATCAACACATTTAAACTATATCTAATAACAATAAAAATTAATAGCAAACCAAGATATGAGATTTTGTTCGAACGATTTCTGTTATGGACAGACGGGACCGCTTTTGAACATTTCTCGCGGAATTAATTAACTCAATGGGGGTGAAAGATAGCCTCGCATAATCGCTAAGTACTTCTAATTCTCGTCTAGATTATACAGGCAATTTAAAAATAAGAACCTTTATTCTTTCGCAAAGAAAAAAATTCATAGGCCCTAAGTCCGGCAGCCTCGACGGCCAACGGCTGGGATCTTGGTTAGCTAATCAATTATTATTCTCGAAATTGGCTGCAAAAGTTAGTTGATAACTTCAGCGTTCTGAGGCGGTGTCTCGTCTTGCTGGAAAAATATGTTTTCGAGTTCCATTAGGGGCAAATCATTTAAAAATTCTGTATTTCGAAGGGGATTATAACAAAATATCAAGTGTGCTATATTTTTGGAAAGGTAATTTTAAGTTCTTTTCATTTAATTAAAAATATACAGGGCGTCCCAAATAAAAAATCAATTTTTCTGTTGATAACTCTTAAAATATTAATAAAAAAAGGTGTAAAGATTGCAGTAGCGACAGTGACAGCTACTGGTTCACATCTATGATTGTCAAGGATATTGTCGTTGGAGAGACTATACTAGTTATGCAAAAATGCCATATAAATAGCTTTTATCTTTACGTTGGTGTAAGAATAATTGATTTCTTTTAAAAAGGAAACAAATAAACTCCATGCAGTACGCACAAATACAAGCTATTAATAGATATTTATAAAATGAAAACACTGAGGGTGATTAAACCAGCGCTTATAAGCTATTTATGGACCATGTTTCTGAGAATCTCAATACGAATAATGAAATTGTTTCCTGCCAATGAAATAATCAATATACTCGATAAACGTTTATTCATGTGATGTAAATGTTACTATAATAGTTGTTCCTTTTTAGATTATTGAATAGAGAATGAATCTCGCCTTGAGTTATAATATGTTATATTTTGCTTTTAGCCTTATTTTCGTGAATGCAGACTACATAAATCTATCAACCTTAATTCATAGACTGAAATTTTTATAAACTTTAGTATTTGATTTATTATACAGGGTCAATTGAAGGGCTGTTTTTTACCCTAACTTTAAGTTTATATAAAATTATCGTTTATTCTCTATAAACTATATAGAGACTATATAGTTTATATCTACTTATTTGATATAAACTAATAGTACGAGAGCTAACAACGTCGAAAAAATAAGTATTTTAAGACGTCTGGCTCTTTGATATAGCTTTTACTATGCTCTCTAGATCAGCATGCGGTCCGTTTGGCTGCCGGTAAACGTTGCGTTCCCTACTGCGCATTGAAAGAAGATCCTATATTTTTATTAGTCCTTTAAATTCTAGTATTGAATATAAATCGAACATGTCTCCATAGCGCAGTGCGTAGAGTTTCCGACCACGAACCGAAGATTCAGAGTTCGAATCCGGGTCAGGACAAAGACTTTTTTATTTTATTTTCGTTTATATTCTGATAGTAAAGTATTAAATATTTGTTTTTATTTAATTACCAGAATTATTTAATACTTTACTGTCAGAATATAAACGAAAATAAAATAAAAAAGCCTTTGACCTGACCCGGATTCGAACTCTGAATCATCGGTTCTTGGTCGGAAACTGTACGCACTGCGCTATGGAGACATGTTTGATTTATATTCAATACTAGAATTTATAGGACTAAATTAATAAAACAATATAGGATCTTCTTCCGATGCGCAGTACGGAACGCAACGGGTTTTCGCAGCCAGACGGGCCGCATGCTGTTCCAGAGAGCATAGTAAAAGATATATCAAAGAGCCAGACGTCTTAAAATACTTTCTCGGAAACGTTGCTAGCTCTTACACTAGTAATTCATAGACTCAGATTTTTATAAACTTTAGGATTTGATTTATTGTACAGGGTTAATTGAAGGGTTGCTTTTTACCCTAACTTTAAGTTTATATAAAATTATCGTTTATTCTCTATAAACTATATAGAGACTATATAGTTTATATCTACTTATTTGATATAAACTAATGTATGAGTCTCAGCAGCGTTTTTTATCATTTGAATGCCTTTCTAAAATACAGCCATATAAAATATTAATGTCAAAATAAAAAAAAACTGGTTATTTCTACTATACCTGTGTAAGCGCCAATGGTTTATTCTGCATTCTAACTAGGTTTTCTTTTTGTTTCTTTTCATCAATTATAATGCTTTCCATACCTTCTTCTTTCCTGTTAACTTCGGTGACAGGACTTGGCAAAACCTTCCAAGGATTCTTTGGGCTTTCTATAAAAACAAGTGAATCAAATACAATACTGACTGTTCAGCGATTGTTCAACGTTTCGTCATCATTATTTGCCTAGATCAATTATACTTACGTTGCACTATGGTTTCTAGAAGCTAATTTTTTGGCCAAAATGTATATTTTAGACTCACTGTATATGGACTTTTTTAAAAGTGGAATGTCAGCAGATATACAAATGAAGCAGACTACATGCATATATTTTTGGGGTGCAAGGGGTATTGAAGCGATACATATAGCCTAGCTTACCCAAAAGTCAACCTCACCTTCACGTGGTGCACCCTGTTTACACAAACGAGGCTCTGACGTCCGAGTATAGGCGGTATAACCTTATACAACCCTCAGACCTACCATCTTCTGGGGAAAAGGAGTAATAAAATACACCTAGCCGGCCGAGAACGTAGCACAAGGGAACTATCGTCGCAGTCCTCACTGTGCCATAGCCATCCCGTGCTACAGTTGCAGCCAAAACTGTGCGGCAGCGTAACCGCCACAGTTAAACCTTTTCACGCAGCTTACACACAGCAATGATGGAACATTCGAGTGGGACAAAATTATCGTCCGGAGGTAAAATTCCCCCTCAATCGGATCTCCGGGAGGGGGTGCCTACTCGAGCGTATCATCGGAGAAACAAAAAATATCAATGTTTCACGTTTGCGGCGTGGAAAGTCCGCACTCTACTGGACAAGATAAATTCAAATCGACCAGAGAGAAGAACAGCACTGGTCTCACAGGAACTCCACCGATTAAATATAGATGTTGCCGCTCTAAGCGAAACACGCTTTGCAGATGAAGGTAGTCTCACTGAGGAGCATTACACCTTGTAGTAGGCATTGCGATCAAAAACGAAATCGCCACCAAGTTAACAGAAGTACCTATTGGTGTCTCCGAACGTCTTATGACCCTAAGGTACCCCATATCAGACAAAACTTACGTCAACATCATTTGTGCCTACGCTCCCACCCTTGACGTTAAAATTGAAGATAAGGATAAATTTTACCAAGCTTTACAAAATGCCCTTCAACGAATTCCAAATCACGAACAAATCATCTTGCTAGGCGACTTTAATGCCCGTGTAGGCAAACAACAAGAAATATGGCCTGACGTATTGGGAAAACATGGAATGGGAAACGCAAATAGCAATGGTGAACGCTTATTAACAACATGCGCAGAGTATAATCTTTGCATCACCAATACGTGGTGCATGTTGAAGGACAAGTTTAAAGGTACCTGGAAACATCCTAGATCAGGCCACTGGCATCAATTGGACCACATAATCCTTCAAAGGACGCATCTAAAAGATGTTAGGCTCACAAAAGCTAGAATAGATCCCGAATGCGGCACTGACCACCGACTTTTAATTTCAAAAATGAAAATCCAGTTAAAACCCAAACATACACGCTGTAAAAAGCAAAACAACATGACCAGATTGAACGTACGGGGTCTAGAGAACAACAATACCGCCGACGCCCTCCGGGAAGCCATCAAAGAATCTCTTCCACCGATAACTTCAATCTCAATATTGGAAGCTGAACAAGGCTGGACACAATTAAGGGATGCGATTCATAAAACCAGCGAAGCAGTACTGGGAAAGTCGAACAAAAAGAAACAACCAGACTGGTTTGACGAAAATCAACCGCATATACAGGCTTTGTTGGAACAAAAGCATAGAGCACATCAAGCCGTCACTGCAAATCCACATAATCCAAGACTGGTAGACGACTTTAAAGCAGCCAACAACACGCTTCGAAGAGAACTGCGCCATGTAAAGGATAACTGGTGGTCACAAAAAGCGAATCAGATTCAAGAGTACGCCACGCATCACGATTATCGTAAATTCTTCGAGGCTGTAAAAGAAGTATACGGCCCAACTAAGAAGGTAAGCTGCCCAATCATGGCTCAAAATGGCGAACTTCTAAAAGAGGAAGAAGAAATCAGAAATCGCTGGAAAGAACATTACAGCCATATCCTTAACCAAGAAAACAACCCCAATATGGAAGCACTAAACACAATACCTCAGTATAACAGCCTCGATGTATTAGACATCCCAATAACAGAACAAGAAATAAAGACCTCCATAAAACAGCTTAAAAACAACAAATCAGCTGGCTGTGACGCGATTCCGGCGGAAATCTATAAGTGTGCAAGTAAAAAACTTATTGGTCATCTTAAGGCTCTCTTTGATGTCGTATGGGAAAGCGGAGAGGTACCTCAGGATTTTCGCAATGCGAATATAGTGAATATATTTAAGAACAAAGGAAGTGCATCAGACTGCGGAAATTACCGGGGAATTTCGCTATTGGCTATCGGCGGAAAAATTCTTGCAAAAATAATGTCAAACCGCCTGCACCCATATATAGAAAAAATCCTTCCAGAATTGCAAACGGGTTTTCGTACCAATCGCGGCACCGTCGATTCCATATTTTCCATCCGTCAACTACAGGAAAAAGTAAAAGAGCAGCAGTCTAAACTTTATGTGGCATTCATCGATCTAACAAAAGCCTTCGACTCTGTGAACAGAGATGCGCTTTGGGCAATTATGGAAAAGTTCGGAGTACCCAACAAATTTCTTACAGTGTGTAAAAGCCTCCATAACAACAACAAGTCAAGAGTGTCACATCATGGATCACTGAGCGACCCATTCCTAACAAATACAGGAGTTAGGCAGGGATGTGTCTTAGCGCCTCTCCTATTCAACATATTCATGGCAGCGCTCTCCATTATGGTGGACAGCAAACTGCAGGAGAGAGGTTTGGGCATTAGATACAGATATGACGGCGGTCTGTTCAACATAAAAAGACTGAGGGCAAAAACACGTACAAAATTTATCACAGAACTTCAATACGCTGACGACTGCGCTCTAGTTGCAAACACGGTACAACAATTACAAGAAATGTTGAACACATATACCTACGAGGTATATGTGTAGGGGCATACGAGGCTTTGGGCCTTAAGCTAAACATCGACAAAACTAAAATCATGTGCACTCCCCCGGAAGATCACAACAATGCTATAAAAATCGGAGAAGAACTATTCGAATATGTGGTTTCGGAAAAGGCCAATATTGACTCTGAAATTCAGCACAGGATTAGTAGCGCCTCAAGAGCATTCTGGAAATTGAAAGACAGGGTTTTCTACAATCATGACTTGAGTACAAAAACAAAACTTGCAGTATACCGAGCAATTATAATCCCCACCATGTTATATGGGAGCGAAACCTGGGTGCCTTACCGCCGACACATGAACGCATTAAACAAGTTGCAACAGAGACACCTTAGACAACTCTTAAGAGTCCGGTGGTTCCATCATGTCTCAAATGTATCGGTCCTTGAAAAACCTAACTGCGAGAGTATTGAAGTCATGGTCACAAAATCCCGCTTAAGATGGGCTGGTCACGTATGCAGAATGCAAGAAAACCGCATACCAAAATCTCTGCTTTACGGTGAGCTTCTAGACGGTAAGAGGAGGCCGGGTGGACAACTGAAAAGATACAAGGACATTTTCCACGAAAATTTAAAGGGAATTAACATGCAGAATGAGTGGGAAAAAGCAGCTCACAATAGAACTCAATAGAGAAGGGTTGTAAACTCAGTTAACAGCCGCAACCAAAAAGTAAAGAGGCAACAAAGCAATGAGATTTTTGAATGTCCGGAGTGCGGTAGGCAGATAACATCACCTATCGGGCTTTTCAGTCACAGAAAAGCTCATGAAAGAAAACGCCTGCGTGACCATCTTCTTTATGTGTGTCGAATACTTGTCAGCGAGTAACGGCGTTATGTATGTATGTATGTATGTATTTTTGTTTAGTTTTAATTTTTATTCCTTATCATCATTTATATTTAGACGTTCTAGTGAAGTATTTGTGCCTATTTAGTTGTTTATTTTCGGAAGAGTTTTGGTGAATATTAAGTGATATATTTCAGTGGGATATAAAAACGGATTACTGTTATTTTTACACTTTATGGTATGTATTTTTAAGAAATCACTAACAATTGCACATAAGAATCAGCGTCCGTTATTTTTGAATTAATTAGAAATAATGAGTTTAAAACAGAAAATAAATAAAAAGTTAAAAGTTTAGTTTAACTTATAAAAAATTCTCCATGTTTCCCCATGCTAGATGTTATTGTACAATTTGAAACAATCCTTTCTGAACATATCAAAGAAAAAATTGGCTGCTACTAGCTACAACTTTCATTTAAAAGAATGTTTTTTTCAGCTATGTATCGATTGAAAAAAATAGATCTTTTGGAAAAATGGCTACAAGAAGCCGATAAAGTTGATAAAAACGGGTATGTTTCAAATTTTGTAAGACAGAAATTTCAGAATAATAAACAAGAACTATCAGGCACAATGGAAAAAAAGATAAATTGTCTTTGTATAAATTTTGAAAGCAGATGGCAGGCGGCTTCGCCGCTTAAAGATTTATTTTTAAAACAAAATGAAGACTGGTTAAAGAAGGATTTTATCCTTGAGTTAAATGAACCTCTTCTATCCACATCATCTGCCGGCCGCCGACGATTACCTTTTTCGGAGCAATCTTCCAGAACCCAGAGAAGAACGGCCCCAAAAGTTTCCGAGGAACATAAGCAGGATTGGGCTTTACTTGTGCAGGCTGCTTTGTAAATTTAGTTATCCTGCCGATGTACTTAACCTACTTCGTGAAAATGACTTTATCTAAAAGAAGTTAGGTAAGTGAAGAACAATTTGAAGAGAAGCATGGAAAAGAAGAGGAATACGAGAAGGAAGAGCAAGAAGAAGAAATGCAAAAAGAAGAAGAGCATGGAGATATTTCTAAAGAAGATTGTTTTTTGGACAGCATTAATTCGATGATTGATCAACTTTCTTTTTTGGAACTAGATACAGAAGATGCTTCATAGGTAAAAGTTAATCACACGTTGAATGAGAAGATTAAAAATAACTTCATTTTATTAGTATTTTATTATTTTATTAAAAGCACAAATTTACAGTCAATATTTTCCAT